AATGGTTACCTGTTTAATGGCCTTTATATTTTGGATGATAAACCATCTAGACACAGTTCAATCTATAACGTTAGTACCAAGCGGTTTAAGCCGAACGACTTAAACCCGACCTATCTCTAGCATTGTCGACTTGGTCACATCAACGAGAAACGCATAGCGAAGCTTCATTCTGATGGACTTCTTGATTCTTTTGAGTATGAATCAATCGAATCGTGCGATTCTTGTTTGATGGGCAAGATGACAAAATCTCCTTTTACTAGAAAAGGAGAACGGGCTACGGAGTTGCTAGAACTCATACATAATGATGTGTGTGGTCCTATGAGCTCGCCCGCTAGAGGAGGTTATCTGTATTTCGTTACGTTTACTGATGATTTCAGTAGGTACGGTTATGTCTACTTGATGAGACATAAGTCTGAAACGCTTGAATTGTTCAAGATTTTCAGAAACGAGGTACAGAACCAACTTGGCAAGACGATCAAGTTGCTTCGATCTGATCGAGGTGGCGAGTATATGAGCCAAGAGTTCACTGACTATCTGGCAGATTGTGGGATTGTCTCACAGCTGACTCCACCTGGAACGCCACAATGGAATGGTGTTTCCGAGAGGAGGAACCGAACCTTATTGGATATGGTACGGTCTATGATGAGTCAGGTCGATCTTCCTAAATCCTTCTGGGGATATGCTTTGGAAACGGCAGCGCTTATACTGAACAACTGTCCAACAAAGTCGGTTCAGAAGACTCCATATGAGATATGGACTGGGAAGCGTCCCAGGTTAGCATTCATGAAGATTTGGGGATGTGACGTTTACGTGAAACGTCTTGCTTCTGATAAGCTATCCGCCAAGTCTGATAAATGCATATTTGTGGGTTACCCTAAGGAAACTAAAGGGTACTGGTTCTACAACCCATCTGAGAACAAAGTGTTTGTTGCTCGGAATGGATCTTTCTTGGAGAGAGAGTTCGTCTCCAAGAGAGTTAGTGGGAGTAGAATAGATCTCGAAGAAGTTCTTGAACCACAAATAGTCGAAGAATCGAGTGAACAGGTCGAAACAGTTCGACCTGTATCACAAGTTGTTGAGACAGCACCTCCTAGTGAACCTCGGAGATCTGGTAGAATTCGCCAAGAGCCTACAAGATATGGTTTTCTTGTGACTGGAAACGATGAACTCATGTTGTTAGAACATGACGAGCCTACGTCGTATTCAGAGGCTGTGGCGAGTTCCGATTCCGAGAAATGGCACCAGGCCATGGAGTCTGAGATGCAGTCCATGTACGACAACAAAGTATGGACTTTGGTCGACTCATTCGATGGTATTAAGACCATTGGATGCAAGTGGGTTTTCAAGAAGAAAACCGACATGGATGGCATCGTGCATACCTATAAGGCACGACTCGTCGCGAAAGGGTTTCGGCAGATTCTTGGTATAGACTATGATGAAACCTTTTCACCAGTCGTGATGCTTAAATCCATACGGATTCTGCTAGCCATAGCTGCGTATTATGACTACGAGATATGGCAAATGGACGTCAAGATCGCATTCCTTAACGGAAATCTGCTCGAGGATGTGTACATGACACAACCCGAGGGCTTTATCGATCCTAAGAGTCCGAGGAAGGTATGCAAACTTCAGAGATCCATTTATGGACTGAAACAGGCTTCGAGGAGCTGGAATCTTCGATTTGACGAGGCAGTCAAAACGTTTGGCTTCCTGCAAAACGAAGAAAGGAGCTGGAATCTTCATTTTGACGAGGCAGTCAAAACGTTTGGCTTCCTGCAAAACGAAGATGAGTTACAAGAAGGCCAGTGGGAGCGCAGTAGTCTTCCTTGTGCTTTATGTAGATGATATATTGCTCATCGGAAATGACATTCCTACCTTGCAAGGAGTAAAATCCTAGCTAGGATCGGTCTTTTCGATGAAAGACTTAGGAGAAGCCGCCTATATTCTAGGAATCAAGATCTATAGAGATAGATCGAGAAGGCTTCTTGGTCTAAGTCAGAGTACATACATTGACAAGGTCTTGAATCGGTTCAAGATGCAAGACTCCAAGAGGGGTACCTTGCCAATGGGACATGACGTTGGTCTTAGCAAGACTCAGTGTCCAAAGACACAGGATGAGCAAGAGCGCATGAATAGGATTCCATATGCCTCGGCAATTGGATCCATCATGTACGCCATGTTGTGTACTCGCCCAGATGTATCATATGCATTAAGCATGACTAGTAGATATCAGTCTACACCAGGTGAGGCTCACTGGATTGCGGTCAAGAACATCCTTAAGTACTTGAGAAGGACTAAGGATTTGTTCTTGGTGTATGGCGGATTGGAAGACGAGCTCGCTATAAGTGGTTATACCGATGCTAGTTTCCAAACCGATAGAGATGACTTCAGATCGCAGTCATGTTATGTTTTCTGCCTGAACGGTGGGGCTATCAGTTGGAAGAGTTCCAAACAGCCAACCGTTGCAGATTCGACTACAGAAGCCGAGTACATAGCTGCATCGGATGCAGCTAAGGAAGCTGTTTGGATCAAGAAATTCGTGGGAGACCTGGGCGTTATTCCTAGCATTGCAGATCCCATTGAGCTGTAATGTGACAACAATGGTGCGATTGCGCAAGCTAAGGAACCCCGATCATACCAGAGATCCAAACACATACTCAGGCGATTTCACTTGATCAGAGAAATCATCGACAAAGGAGACGTGAAGATAAGCAAAGTGTCGACAGATGATAATACTGCCGACCCATTGACGAAGCCTCTCACTTCGTCAAAACATGATGGTCATGTTAAGAGTATGGGGATTAGATGCTTGTAGGATAAATCATAGAGCATAGTGGGAGATTGTAGGTTGTAATGCTCTAGGATGATCCGTGATATGACATTTGACTTTGTATTGATTCATTGAGTTATGAATGCATTATTTTTCCGTTATACGATTAGCATGTTTGTTGTATTGCGGGATCCTTGAATCATTAGAGAATGATTCTAAACTCCCTAATCAGTCATCATTGTGGAAACAATGTTGAA